AATGATTGGGCAAAAAAAAAAAAGAATAAGAAAAGTTGAATCATTTTTACAGGGTTGAAGCTAGCTTGCCGGCTAGTTACTGTTTTGCATGTTGATGAGGAATAAATATAGAGTTTGTAGTTTGAATGGATTGTAATTTCAAGATTGATGAGTGGTTGTGATGAAGGGTGGCTTCAGTTGTAATTTTTTTTCTTAATTAACTTGAAGAACTGGAAAAGAATTTTAGATGTCCTGGTTGTGAATAATCCTTCTCATGGTCTGTTGATAAAATAAAAAGATTAGTTAATTAACATATAACTTTTCTGGTATGTCAATCCATACTGTTGGTTTTTGTTAATATATTAATCAAATGAATTTGTGTATCCAACTATCCATTGAGCATCATTTTCTGAAAACATTTTGATTTGTTATTCTCGGCAGGAACCAAAGAACATTCCGCCCTAAGAAAAGTGCACCATCGGGCAGTAAGGTGGAATTCTTCACCTCTATCAAATCTCAATCTTTGGCTTTTCACTTTTTCTTTCCTTTTAATTTGTTTATTACTTCTAACTTACAATTAATCTCTTCACGGAGTCTGTCGGACTTCCTTAACTTCAGTTTTTGGCGTCTCTTAAGCTTTATTTGAGTGCTCCCTCAATTTGTAATATAAATAATTGGTTTTTGCAGGGAGCACAACTTAGAAAGCATATCGATGCTACCTTAGGAAGTGGTAACTTGAGAGAGGCAGTAAGGTTACCACCCGGTGAAGATATAAACGAGTGGCTTGCAGTCAACAGTACTCTCTCTCTCTCTCTCGGCTTCATTTTCGAGTATTACAATTGAAATTTTTTGTTTGCATTTTATTTATTTATTTATTTTTTGCAGCTGTTGATTTCTTCAATCAGGTGAATCTGCTTTATGGCACCCTCACTGAGTTTTGTACTGCTGAAAACTGCCCAACAATGACAGCTGGCCCCAAGTATGTTTGGATTTTTCAGTAATTATTTTTGTTAGTTTATCTGTTGAGAAATTGATACATTTATCTGTTAGTAGAAGTATTTATCAGTATAACTATATAATTCACGTTTTCAAAATTAAATCAGTTTTAACTCTTTTGTCCCAGATCTATGAGTCGTGGTTTTTTTTGTCCAAAAGCTATTTTTAACATAGCTTTGCTCCTGAGTTTTGGGTTTGGCTTATGCAATGAAAATTATTGCAAAAAGTAAATAAATAAATAAATAAATAAAAAATGATTTTCCTTATCTGATGGAATTATTGTAGGTATGAGTACAGATGGGCAGACGGTGTACAAATAAAAAAACCAATCGAAGTTTCAGCTCCTAAATATGTCGAGTATTTGATGGACTGGATCGAAACCCAGTTAGATGACGAGTCCATATTTCCACAAAAACTAGGTAACAAGATTTATTTCATTCATTTTTTTTTTATTTTTATTTTAAATTTAATTACAATTTTTGTTACTTGTTCTTCTATATGGCAACATAATAAATCCTGAGAAAAACAAAAAATATTTGTAGGGGCTCCTTTTCCTTCAAATTTCAGGGACGTTGTAAAAACCATTTTCAAACGTCTGTTCCGTGTTTACGCGCATATATACCACTCTCATTTTCAGAAGATTGTGAGTCTAAAGGAGGAGGCCCACTTAAATACCTGCTTCAAGCATTTTATTCTGTTTACCTGCGTAAGCTCTCGATTCTCTTAATCCGTTCTGTTTAATAATCGAGATCAATAACTCATAGACCCCATGACCTTTTTGGCTTTCTGTTTTTCTCAATCTTACAACTCTTAAAAAAAAAGATTATATGTTCGTTTTCTTCTCAGACGTTAATATTTTGTAAACTATCTTCGGCAAAAACGAAAGCAAGAAGGAAAAAACATCCTGGCCTTTGTACCGAGGAAAACTAAAAATGGATTTGATTGTTTTGTTATTTATTTATTTATTTAACATGTACAATTTTTTTATGCAGGAATTTTCGCTGATCGACAAGAAGGAACTCGCTCCACTTCAAGAACTGATAGAATCCATTGTCCCTTATTGAAAAAAGCTTTTACGCTAGTCGAATTATCTGGAAACTGACTGTATTTAGAGAGATGCATAATTATCCTTGTACTCTGAATGTAATGCCTGTAAATTGTGTTTTTGAACCTTTGGTTTTTGTGTTAAAACATTCTTTAAAGACGAAATATATTGGGAAATGATAAATCGATGCAGCAATTTTTTTTTTTTTTTAGCAAATTTGAGTATGGGAGTATAACAAATTTTATCTTAATCTCTCTCTGTTATTTGTCATCATTTTAGGTTGAATGATGAAATAGAAAATGCAGCTTCACAAGAATTACACAGGAATGTGAAATATATTAAATAATTTGCAGTACATGTGTGTATATATATATATAATGATTATATGGAGAAATCAGAGCCATTCAACAAATGTAATTATTGTGAAATTCCAGAAAAATAACAAGATAAAACCCTTTTCTAGACCTGTCAAAAAATCCCAGCAGACCAAAACTTCATAAGAGTTGAAGAAAAATTACAAAAATAAAAAATAAAAAATACTGTTATCTAGACGTTCTTATCGACCACTCGAACGGCCAAATTTTCGCTCGGCATACACATAAGCCCCACATAAACCTCCAAGAACACAAAAAACCTGAACAAACAATTGAAAATTTGCAAGCATTTCTCCACGAACTTCATGTCCAATCGAACGACAACTAACCGAGTTCTCCTTGAGCCGACAGCCTTCAGGCATCATGGACCCGTACAGAGTAAATGCTGTCTGATAAAACCAAAGGCCTTGTAAAGTGATTGCAATGCCACTGCATATATCGGCCATGAAACTATTCGGCAAAAGTGCCCCAGCTATAGTGGATATTATGCAGATGGATATAAGAAGCACAAGGACCAAATGGTAATATCCCTCGAGGCCCTTGTGGGTGGTCGAGTGGAAATAGAATAATAGGTACTCGGCTGTGAATGCTGCAGAAGCTATGAAGCATAGAGCTCCTTCTGGCAAAGGAATAAAGCTACAAAACAAGAAAAATATAAAAAAAAAAATTATATTATACAATAGAAACAGATACAAGGGTTCTTTGATAATTATTTTGCACAGTAGTCCACCAGAAAAAAACAGCAATCAAGTGAATTTTGAAACAAAGTGCTTTTGAAATGATTATTTATTTGGTTGGTGATGCTACTGCTTAGCTTAACTTTGGTAAAAGACGCTTTTGGCAGTTAAATCATCGGTCTTTAAAGGTGGCTTATACATATATATTTTGTTGATCAAGCTCTCTCACGATTTCAGCTCAGAGGGTTCAATCAATATAGTGATTTAGTAAGATGTGGCTTAGGCTTACTAAATTTTGAAATATGTAACTAATGTTCAAACCAAATGCATGATTTTTCTACATGTTCTTGAGAGATTCAGAGGTTTTTCAATTTACAGAGGAAGCTGAAAAATCTGTAAAATATCAGTCACAATAAACAACAGAAGAACAATTCGTCACAAAAATAAATTCCTATACATTAAAATCATGACCAAAAACACAAATAAAATTCTACTTAGATTCCATTTTTCATTTGCAAGATAAAAAATAATCATGTTAAGTAGTTCTATAGCTTTACCAAAAACATATGTCCACAATTTAGCTACTGCCTCTACACATAGAATGTAAAATCATATTCTGACTAACCAAAATTAATATGACAAGAAGCATTATATATATTATCCTGCTAAGTTAAAAAGAATCAACTATTTTCCAAAAAACGAACCTCGTTTTCTCAGAAAGAAGAGCAACCACGCCGAAGAGGAAGAACATGAGAAGCATGCCCGAATGCTCAAAATCATTCATATGAGACGGGTTCAGTACACCATGAACAAAAATCTTGAGATGAGTTGAGTACAAAAACTCTATGCACATATCAATGAAAGCACCAACTGCAATCACATAAAGCTCCAAATACTTGAGCCTACCACCAAATCCATGAACTGGGTTCCAAACCCTGACCCGGAAAGAATACGGGTCCGAAGCATATCTTACCACAGAGCACCACATGTGCCACAAACCAATGACTAGAAACAAAGTCCCGGGAAGAAGATGGCCAAGAAAAGAACCCATTTTTTATACAAATTAATTTGAACAAGAA